CACACATACAATTATTATTACTTATATTATAGATGTAGATTTTCTCTTAACTAAAGTGACAAGATCCTGAAATGTAAAAAGTGGGACGTTAGGCCGACACTTCAACTTTACATCAGATGAATAATGTGACCAATTCTGGTTGACGATTGTCGGTTTTCTAGCTTTCAATGACAGATATTACAGATGTTTTACTTATCTATATACTCTTGTTTACAAATAATGACCTACATGGATAGTGACAATTAATTACAATTCTGAATATATCTTTGGTTGTTTTAATCACTGTTTTTTTTAACTCAGGTAATTACCAAAAATCATCAGCTTCATTTTATAACTGATTTCAATAACTACTATTGCTACTGCTAGAGCTACTGTTTCTATAAATGGGATATTAAAATTTTTGCACTGTAACTTGTATGCAGTTCATCTTTCACTTATAATTCATTCAATGAATATTAGCTATTTCTGAATAAAATTTGAAACAGTCCAAAAGCAGGACAGTTTTAAAATTGAGACAGCATATTAAAATGTTGTACTGTCCTGACTAATTCGGTACATCTGGTCACTTTACTCTTAACACATTTTTGTTTAGCAAAAATATATTTAGAGAAAATTGCTACTTTTAAGGAATTACTATTACATTAATCAAGAACTACATGTTTTATTGATATTAATACAGTTTTTTAATTTTTCAGTAAAGAAGTTTTATATGAGTTAATACAATTGATAAAGCAAACATGAAAAAAAAACCATCATCAGTAAGATGGCTTCTAGAATTAAATATGATTGTATAGAAAACAAATGTCATTGTTCAAAATTACAAAATCTCAAAATTAATACATAATATTAAAAAAAAGAAAGAAATAAAATAAAAGTAAAGAAAGCAGAAAATTTTTAATCTTGAAAGGTAATATGACTAGTTCACATTTCCAGGGAGAATCGAGAGAGGTTTTTCTTACAAATTAGCCATTTTCAATGTTGAAGAAGACAGTCCAAGTCTCTGCAGTTAATAGCATGATATTTCTGGCTCCTTCCAAAAATTCAAACTATTCTGCGTGATTATCATTTCATTTCAGATAAGAATGGGACAGTTATCAGGTTATTTGATTAACGACAAACAATTAATCGGTAATGTATAATTGTTTAATCGTACAATTGATCATTAAGTAATCATTGTTGGGTATTTTTTTAAATATCTTATAAATTTTGAATTTTTTTTTTTAATTTTAGTTTTTATACAGTCTTTTTTAACTTTGCTTACTATCTGCCTATTAAATATATAAATATTTATTGTATTATTCATTTATGCTTTAAAGTTGTATGAAAATATTGGGTTACTTTTATAACTTTTAATTAATAGCCAGAAATTTGATTTGTTTACAAAGGAGAAAAGGTTTTGCTTTGTTGTTTTTATTGCTCTGTCACCATTGGTCAGTTAGAAACGCTACAATTCCTATTGGTTTATTAGTATACTAGCAAGAGCACCACTATAATAAAAAAAGGGATTAGCATGTTTTCATATTATCATAGTAAAGGAAATCAGAGTATCTTTTGCTTAGCATCCTGTTACATTGTGTTTTAGTGAGCCTGCTTACTTAATATGCTAAGAAGAACTGCATGACTGACTGTGTAATTGAATTAAAACTGATGCAATTGGACTTAAATAATAACTATGTTCATCAGCCAAATGATGTTCTTAAAAATGCTCAGGCTTTATGCACTCTTCCTCTGTTCCCATAATACCTCTGGCAGTTTCTTCCTATTCTTGGATGACCAATATAACTAACCTAATCTGTCTGTAATAGTTAGTATAATCTATGGGCCGTGTCTGATGTCAAATTGAGAGAAGGACAATTTCATCTGAATAATGTAATGTAATAATTTTGATTATAATTAACAATTCTTTAAAGTACCTTTTAAAATAAAACTCCAGTGCATTGATTACAATACTAGACACATACACTGTCAGACAGCATTAAAATCTTTTTTATAGTAGACAGCTTGTATTCTAGTATTATATCTAATTTGGTGTAGACTTTGAAATACTATTTGTCTTTTGATTATTCTGAAAAAACTGGAAAGATTGGAAATCTTGAATGCATCCTTCATAATCTGTCATATAACGTAAATGTTATAAACAAATACAGTGCACTCTTGCTAATTTGGTTATTAATCTGGCCTATCAGTTATCTGGTATGCCCCAGTGTGATTGCGTATGCACTTCCATTTGCATGAAAATGTTTATTGTTTCTTAACCCCATCCTTGAATTGATATTTTACAGCCCACTTTGACAAGTCAAATTGATTGCTGATTTATTTGAAATTTCATTAAACTTTTGGAATTATTGTTAATTTATTTAATCCTTTATTAATTTTATCATGAATGAAAAATGCATAATGATGTAATTGATGATGATGATGAGAGTTGGTAGTGTTTCTATATAGTAGCATTTGTGGAGTTTTTGTGACTCATTTGTTCTTTGAGTTCGACATATTCTAAAAGAAGGAGTTGCAAGGAGAATTAAGGCAGGTTTTTCTTACAAATTAGTCACTTCCAAAGTTGAAGAAGACAATCCCAGTCTCTGCAGTTAATAGCAAATCCAAGTTGTGTTACATATTCTGTTTACTCAGGTTTTATTTCTCTGTACGATATTGCATGCCAATGTGCCATATTACTTGCCCACACACCTCAGAAAAGGATCTGTACAAAGAGCGACAGGTTACATCATTCATTGCCTTTTGCAGGCTTAAAACCTACATTACTCAGTAATCTAGCACTTTTACTAACCTCTGAGCAAAGAATGGCTGAGTTAGAAAGAGTCTAGTGCAAGGATTCCCAAACTTTTTCAATTCTTGCTAAATTCAGATTTTACCAAGGTGCCCTATGTCGAATTCTAACAAGTACAATTTGTAAAATAGCAAAATAGGCAATATTTTTTTTTAATTAAATAGTTAGGACATTAAGTAAACAATAAGTAAAACAGCAAGGCTGTATTTGGGATAAGACTTTGTCTCAGAGACTCACTACTAAACAGGATCACTTTGGCATTCGTGACGGGTCTCATTTTCATTCATTCATTCAATCTTTTTTGGTATCACTGGTTTTGAGCCAATCATTCAAACTTTGCTGGCCACTGCAACGACCACAAGGTCATCCACAATGCATTTTTGGTGAAATTAATCTATCCAGTGTTTAAATTTTTCTCCATTGTGTCCCAGGTTGAATTTTTGTCGATGCCTAATGAAAATTTATTACGACGACTAGCCACCATCTAGTTTCAAAAACATTCCAATGTTGAAACGAGATATCTTGGGTCAACTGGTCAAGGTCAGCACATTGTGACCAAAGATATGTCAGGAATAACACTGCACGGGTAAATGATTTTTTCAGATTTGTTTGTCAAAGTTCGATTTCGTGATGTTTGCATTTCCAATGATCAACACATGCGCAAATCTCGCACTAGTGTTTGTTTGTAGAAAGAGTGTTGCCATTTTGTATTTTATTTTGACTCTGTTCTCGGTTCCCTGAGTACCTACAAGTCTGATTTTTTTATGTGCATATGATTTTGGCACCTGTGTCAAATTGCATCTCCTGACATGTACTCCATACCTCTAAGCTGGTAAGTCAGGACGGCACCAGAAACAAGACATAGTCTTGTCGATAAATAAAACATGTATTTAAGATAACAAAAAAAGGTAATTGAACAAATTCAATTAATTATAATTAGAGGGATGGATGAGCCTGTTGATCATTGCACATTTTTTCAAATCTTGGAATCAAACTGGACACAGCCACCCTCATTTCTTTCTCCACATTAATTTTCATGCAATGCTTAATTTTTATCACATCGACAAACTCAGCTTCACACAAATAACAAGTCACAAATGGAATTAAAATTCTCTGAGCTTTACCACTCAAAAGGGATATTTATCTTTTACTGATATCCAAAATTCAGTTAGTTCTATGCTGCTAAATTTTGTTTTCAACGTATTGTCACAAGACAACTCAATGAGATTCTCTTCTTTTGCAGCAGTAAGTTCAGATGGGCACTGGCATTAAATGAATCTTGAATCCATGCAAATTTATCAGTATTAACATTTTGAAAATATTTCTCAAACCAGGTGATAAGCTGTGATAAATGTTCTTCAAAACTAGATTTGATACCTCAAGAGAAATCAACTCCACTAGAGGTCAAAATCTGTTGCAACTAGGGAAAACATTCATTTCCACCGTCTTCATTTATTTTTCTTTTCCACAGTTTTAATTTTTTATTATAAAAGCCGAAATTTTCTCAATCAACTTAGAAAGGTGCAAGTTGCTTCCCTGCAGAGAGAGATTCAGAGCATTCAGCTTTTCAAAATTATCACAAAAGTATGCTAATTTTACCAAAAACTCTTCATTCACAAAATTTTTGACATGGGATCTTCCTCTTTAAGAGAAATATAAATTTCCTGTTGCAGTTCAAATGTACGAGACAAAACATTACCACAAGAGGCATCGCAAAGTGCTGTTGTACAACAAAGACGTGTTCTGATCCTCTATCCTCACGTAGTTTTTTGAAAAATCTTGCCTTCAATAGCTGCGTGTTTATAAAGTTAACTACATTTACTACATATTCAAGGGCCTGGTTCAATGTAGAACTCAGATATGTTGATGCAAGTGCTTCCTGTGAATAACGCAATGGGTCCACAGTGCATCGCACACTTTGGGAACTGCTGGTCTAGTGAATTAAAATAAATAAAGCTGAGAAAAATTCCAGATCTTAATACACATGCTCCTCATCATATATTTTGGTTCATGGTTCTCAAATGATTGAATTAGTGCAAGTGTGGAAGCTAAAAACCATTAAAGCTAATGAGCATTAATGTTTTTTTTATTTATCTAATAATATAATAACGATAGATTAAGAACTGGAATGTTTTATGCTACAGTAAAGCTGGTTAGATAATCATTTTACTTGAGAATTTAAAAGGAAATTAATAAACCTTTATATTTTTAGGCACGGATAGCTTTTCTGCAAGGAGAGAGAAAGGGTCAAGAAAATTTAAAACATGATCTCATTAGAAGGATAAAAATGTTGGAGTATGCTCTCAAACAAGAAAGGTGAATGAGTAAAATATTCTATTCAAGTTTTAGTAGTGTAAGATGATGATTTTTAATTATTTTATTATATATTTTTTTCTTTTCTTGTAAAGAGCGAAATTACATAAGTTCAAATACGGTACTGATCCCAGTCCAGCAGATTTAAAAGTTCCAATATTTGATGATATGGGAAAAGGTAATTATAAAAAAAAATAATTATTATTGTTATTAATACACCATTTTCAGTTTGTTTTATTTTAAAAAACAGTAGTTAAAGGGGAGGAAAGTAATTTTGAAATATTTTTAGATAATTTTTTTTATTGTCTTTCAATTGTTTGGGCCCACGGTGATTTAGTTGTAATGCACTAAACTATTGAATGGATTAAATCTCAGAAGCGACTAGTTTCTGCTTGTCGTGGTCTCTAAGTCTGGTGTGGAATGGTTTTTAGCTCTCTTTGATGGAGTACATGTAGGATAGTTAGCATTGACTGGCCATCTTGCTCAGGTCATGAATAGAGAGAGCGTTATGTTTTCGTGGCTTTAACTAAGGTTATGCATTTTTTGAGATCCAAATGTCTCATTGTCGGACCTGATTTCAAGATCTGACAGTGAGACATTTGGATATCAAAACATTTAATTCCAGTTAATCAATGACTTCTCTAACTTATTTAGTAATTTTTTTCATCTTATAAAATCCTTAGTTTACATATTAACTGAATGTCATAAACTCAAAATAATCATTGGGACTGTTCCATTCAATTTATATTGGTTCCAAAAGATGTATGATTCTGTTTCATGTCTAATAAACCTTATTAATTATTCAATATATTTATAATAATTTATTAATTTGCAGATGAGCAGTGTGATGGAGAATTATTGATAGCAAATAATAGTAATGTTTCGTGGCAAAAAGGCAGACAATTACTTAGACAGTAAGTTTCATTATAATTTTAATTTAAAAGAAAAATATTTGTTATAATTTAATTTCTTTTGTTAAAGTTAATAAAAATTTTGATAGATATTTACAGGAAATAGGCTATACCGACACAATTATAGACGTTAGGTCATCTCGAGTTCGGACATTATTAGGATTATCACCAAATAACATGGATTCTAATGAGAAACAGACCACATTTTCTACTATGAATGATCATATAAATAAAGGAGTAAACGACACTCAAATAAGGAGGTAAGTGTATAATGTTTTATTTAATTTCAAAGTTGTAATTCTTTTTATAAAATGAAATAATTAAGTACAAATAACTGCAACCAACAAATGACGATTTATGATTCATTTTTAAAACTTATAATTAAGCAATATAACGAAATTATTAGACATTTACTGATTAGAAAGATAGGCAATTTAATTCTGTCATTGGATTTTACATCTTAGCTTTTGATAAAACTTTTTACACATCTACAAAAAAAAATTCATAATTTCATTTGAATTGTGATTACAATTCAAATTATTTAATTATATCTTTTAAAAATATTTAATCTCATTCTAGTTATGATTAAAAGTGTGGCTTTCTTATGTCTTAATGGATGTTATCAATTTTAATTTGTTACATTTTCATAGATAATAGTTAAATTTATGGATTAAACATGATTATAAGAAATATAAATTGTTTACTTAAAATATAGTAGAATCATAATTATCCAAGCTAATACAGACTGATGCTACCTCAGATAAACGAAAACTTGGATAAGACAGACAGCCGTGGCTGTTTTGTATTGAAAGGGTACCACAACACGCTTCCTTTTCCCACTCATTGTTATATTTAAGATGAAAACTTTATTAAAGTTTATTAAAGATATAGAAACACGCTGGCGATACACTAACAATACTTGAATAGTAAGTAGATGTGCAGTTGGAGAAGAGTGACTTGCCACTTTCCAACAGTCACCAGCTCCTCAATCACTCACAGTTGAGGTTAAAAGAATTACAGTATTTACACACAGTATATTCATTGCAAAGTTTTTGTGAATTATAAGAAAAGTAGTGTATTACACTCACTGGTTCATTTCAGATAATTGAAATCTCAGTTAATTGAGGCTCGGATAATTGGGATTTTACTGTATTTTTAATTTTTCTTGTGTATTTGATATATTTTCTATAGTCTCTTCATTTTAATCATAATAAATACATATTTGGCACTAGTTAGTTGTGGTTCTAGTCTTGTAAGAGAAAGCTGAAGATTAAATGATTTTATATATTAAATATAATCATACCAATTGTAAATATTTTATTCACCTGTTTCCTTTAAAATTTGTAAAATGTATTAATTTATAACTTATTATGTAAACTATTATAACTTAAGTCAGAGAAATCTTAACTGATTTAATGCTTTTGAGATTCCTTAGATCTGAACTTGAGATCAATTTTTCAAATCTAAAAACTGTATATTAAAACAAGATAGTGAAACATAATTATAAGGTAGACTGTCATTAGTTAAATAGTTAAATAATTTAATGGATGTTTGCCTGTCCCATTAATATAAAACCAAGTATATTATAAAGCAAACATTTATCACAATTACTTTTCTTAGACTAAAATTATATATAGTGTACTTGAGGTTAGGAATATGTAAATGCAAAACCATTTTCCTAGCTTGTTTACAGAATATAGAATGGCTAAAGGAAAACTAACTGATACAGAAAAGGGCAAAATTTTTGCTTTTAAGAAAAATTGCTATTTTGAAAGACAAACTACAAATAAACTAAACAGGTCCCACACAGTAATCAAAACTATGCCAAAAAGAAGCCAAATGGTAGATCTAGCAAAGTTACACCAGCAGCAAAATGGGTGATTGTGTATGAGGGGGTAAAAAATTCTATAACTTTACATAAGCCATCTTACATCAAAATGAAGTAATAATGTGTCTAAATTAACCATCAGCTGAATTGTGGCACAGTGCTCTCATCTAGTAACAAACACAAAAACATTGCACCTGCCTGACGAGAGGCATAAGGAAAAGCATCTGTTTGAGCTAACCAGCACATGTCTTGGATTGAAACATGGAAGAAAATTATTTGGAGAGATGAGAAAAAGTTCACCCTCGATGGGTCCGTCAAGATTGAATACTGTTGGCAAGATCTTTGCAAAGACAAACAACTATTTACAAAATGTAAACAAGGAGGCTGCTGTCTGATTACTTATTTGTTACCCAATGCAGAAAGTATTGCAGGAACTGACTATTCTTTTCAACAAGATATTGCACTTGTGCATACAACTAAAGAATACATACGAATGGCTCTTGAATAATGGGATGCCAATAATTGATATGCCTTGTTCCCAATCTTAACCCCACAGAAAACATGAGGAACATGCTAATTTGCGCCATTTATGGAATAGGCAAAGTACACATGAATTTGAGGAGTTGCAAAAGGCAATTGCACAGAAATGGGAAAAATTCCTTGCATCTTCATTCAACATTTAATTTTTTCTATGCCTACTCATAAATACAAAAGTATTGTTAGACAAAGTAACTATATTGGTTACTAATTTGTAATAAAAGCTTTGTTACTGTAATTTAAAAATACTTTAAACGTTTTATGAGATTAATATTTTAGGAGGGGCTCACAGCTGGTCCTAGAGGAGTAAACCTTGATTAAAAATTCCAACCTACAGGTTAGAGGTTGAGACATGGGGCCAGCTTCCCCATTCTCGGAAAAAACTTAAATGCTAAAAAACCCAACAGAAATAAGCTGGCTGGATATTCAGTACGATGACAAAGGCTACGGAAAAGGGCAACGATTATAGGAACATGGAATGTGCAAAGTATTAATAATAAAAAGGAACTAATTATCTTGGAATTAAACAGAATACAACAGGATATTATTATATTAACAGAAACCAAAAAGAGAGGACAGGAAGTGGTTATAGAGGATAAATATCTACATTTTTACAGTGGTGTATCAAATGATTCTAAATCAAAAAGAGAAGTTTCTGATATTGACAAAATATAAGAAAAATGTTACAACTTGGGAAGCAATAAATAAAAATATGATTAAAATTAATTTAACTCTATTTGGTAGAAATATTACAATTTTGGAAATATATGCTTTAAGTGACAGTGAAAATAAATTAGATAAGGATGAAATTTTTTGAGAAATTAAATACTGTAATAAATAATATTGACAACAATAGAGAAATTATAATGGCCGAACTGGTAAAAAGCATAAGAACCAAATAGTTGGACCTTTTGGAGAAGATATAATAACTGATAATGGTGAAAGATTAATTGAACTATGTTCTGCAGAACTCATTAAAAATAACAAATGAGTATTTCCAACATAAAGATTACATAAATACACTTGGCATCAAGACTTGTTGAATTCAAAACCAATATTGGACTATATCATTGTATAACAGAATACTGCACTATTGGTCCAAGGTGTCAGAGTTTTTAGAGGGATTGATTGTGGAAGTGATTAATAGTAAAATAAATTTTCCATACTTTAAAATTGACACTAGTATCAATAATGAGTTAGAAGGGCTAGAATTACAAATTCCAAGATATAATCTACTCTCTTTACAAAATGAAAGTACTCGACTATTGTACCAGAAACGACTAGATGGTAAATTAGAGGAAACCTACTTTGATACAGTAAAGGAACAATACAATCATATAGAGCAAAGTATACATCAAGCAGCTAAAGAAGCATTAGGAGAAGTTAAATCAGGAACATGTAAGACAAAAATGTATTATTGGAATGAAAAAAATAGCAGAATTGGTGAAAAATAAAAGAAATTTACATTTAAAATGGCTAAATAAAAAAATATAGAAGACTAGCAGACCCCGCCACGCATCTGCTATGTGTGGCTCAAAATGTATCTATTATAAATTTACACTTGTTGTGGCTCAAAATGTATCTATTATAAATTTATAACACTTCCCCGTGGGGGGAATTTTTCGAAAAATTTCTTCTTATTGTACATTCTGTTGACGTACCCTATTAAAACGCAAAAAACCGCATCTAAAATAGTATAAATAGAAGCAAAGTTCTTTACGGTAAGCCTTAATCCTAACCATCTTCCTTCAGTGGGGAGAATTTCGACACGTATATTATATAAAAACACGTGCATATTTGAATGCAGCATTGTGTCAAAATTTCAAAGGAATTGGTAGGAACAAACGAACATTACATTTTTATTTATATAGATAGATAGAAGATGATCTGCTTTAGTTCATTTTTACAGAAAAGCATAATGCCTCACAGAAAAGCAAACTTAAAGTGTCGTACTCTTAGTGCCATCTGTTGGAAGTAAAAGCCTTAACCTAGATTATATATTTTAATTTATATGAATGTTTAACGGAATAATATACAGCCTATGTCCACCCTGAAGTTCCATTCTAAATATTGGTGAAAGAATTTTTGAAATCGGATGAGTAGTTTCGGAGATTACCTGCTGCAAACAAACTTACATACATACATACATACATACATACATACATACATACATACATACATACATACATACATACATACTTACAAACATTACCTCTTTATAATATTAGTATAGATAAAATAGAGTATAAGAAACTTCAGGCTGTTATAAGGAGAAAAGTATCGCAAGAAAAGAATAACAATTGGGAGAAAGTTTGTAATACCATACAAACTTATATAGGTGGAAGACGAAATACTGAAGCATGGAGAATTTTGAAAAATTTAAGAAATGATAATAAAAGAACCAATACTATTCAGTACATATCACTAAATAAATGGGAAGACTATTTAATAACCTTTTAACAGAAAACAGAAATGAATATATGATTTATAATACAGAGAATGAGGACATATAAGATAATATGAAAGATGACTATATTCAAATGGATATGAAACTTTTTGAAAGTATAATTAAATCTTTAAAAAATAATAAAGCTAGTGGCATTGGTGAAATACCAGCAGAGCTAATTAAGTATGGATCTGATAGATTACTTAGAATTTGCAAAAAGTTAATGGAACGATTCATAAATGAAGAAGATATCCCACAAGACTGGAAAGTTGGATATCTGTCACCAATATACTAAAAAAGAAAAAAAGATGAGTGTAAAAATTACAGAGGTATTACTGTCACATGTACATTCAGCAGAATACATTGAAAATTATTAAAATATTACCTAGAAGAGGAATACAAAGATATGGAAAATGAGGAACAAGCGGGTTTTAGGAGTGGAAGATCCACATTTGATCATATTTTCTGTGTTAGGCAAATAATCGAGAAAAAAGTTGCTAGAACTCAAACTCCACGTTTATTATTTATTGACTTAGAAAAGGCATACGACAGTATACCAATTAAAAAATTATGGCAAGTATTGGATAACACAACAATAAATAGGAAAATAATAAATAATATTAAAAAATTATATCATGACTCTATTATTAAAATAGCAACAAGATTATATGAAGGATTTCTGGTTACTATAGGTTTACGCCAAGGTTGTTGTATTTCCCCAACATTATTTAAAATTTACATTCAAAAGGCTATGGAAATATAGAAGAGAAAATGTAGTAGTATGGGTCTAATGGTTGAAGACAATACTGTATATACATTATTATTTGCAGATGACCAATTAGTTATAGCTAATGATTATGATGATTTAACATATATGACAAGAAGCTGAAAGAAGAATACAATAATTGGGGACTAAATATAAATATGAAAAAACTAATTATATGGTAATTGGAACTAAAGACATACATGATTTAGTTTTGGAGGAAAATGGAAAAATTGAACTGATTAAAGGATGTAATGAATTTAAATATTTAGGAACAAAAATTACTAATGATGGTGGGATGGAAATTGAAATTAGGGACAGAATTATGAAAGGAAGATCTATGATAAGAATGTTAAATGGAATCTTATGGGATAAACAATTCTTTAAAACAACAAAAATAAACATATATAAATCATCAGTTCTAAGTGTGATAACATATGGAGCAGAAGTGTGGATATTAAATTCAAAATTTAAATCTAAATTAGAATCCACAGAAATGGACTTCTTGAGAAGATCTGCTCGATGTTCAAAACTAGATAAAGTAAGAAATGAGGAAATTAGGAAAAAAATTGATTATCAAAACTCTATAGTCAATTATAGCCATAACGAATAATTAACCTGGTATGGTCATGTGGAGGATGGAAGAAGGTAGACAACCACAACAGATACTGAAATGGATTCCGGCAGGCAGAAAAAGGAGAGGAAGGCTGTGGACTATATGGATAGAGGAAGTAACAAAAGCTATGGAGCACAAAGGACTGACAGAGGAGGATTGTTGAGACAGAACAGAATGGAGAAGAAAAGTTTGGGCACAGGAAGATGCTTAAGCATTATTAACCTGTAAAATAATAATAATAATAAAGTATATTTATGGGACGAATATTAAAAATGTTAAATTTTTATATTGTTTACTTTATGATACTTTGCATTATAAGTATATTATCATTATCTTTCCACTATTATAATATTAAAACATAGACAGTAAAGGGTGGCTTTATACTTATGGGACATACTTTGTGTAGTGAAATGTATATATCTTCTATTACACTTATGCACTGAAGAGGGGCAAGGATAAACAGGCTTTTGTGTGGTTGATTTCATAAGAATAGTGTTTCTTATTGTGGAAATAAATAAAAAGTATTCTAAAACGTGACTTGAACATGTGATTTAAGAGATCTCATAAAAGTTAATTAGTTAAGTTCTCTTTGAATCTAAGTAATTTTATAGTAAGTTATAAATTAATTCTGACTTTAAGGAGTCATAAATGTGACCAAATATTAAAAGATTTTGCTGTAGTAGATGAAATTTTCAAGTCATATAAACAAGAAGAATTTGAATGGATTTACTTTGTTTAATTAATAACTTGTGGAATATCTTGAAATAATTAATAATGATAAAATTATTTGTTAAAGTAAATATAATAATTATTTCTTTAGGCTTTGTTAATGTATTTAAATTAACAATGCCATTTGTTCTCAAAATTTAAGGTAAAACTAGTTTAAATTTTGGTAATGTAAGTCTGAACTGTAAAATTTATAATAATATATCAAAAAGAGAGAAATAATCTCATGAAACATGGAGAATAATAATACTTTAATTCAAGTTTTGGTAGCTTTAATTATCTAAATGTCATTATTATTATTATTATTATTATTTTCAAATCTATCATAGACCATAAAAGATTAATATTATATATTTAATTTTTTTACTCAAATTATTAATATCCAGTTACTCGTCAAAAGATGAATTTAAAACCATGTCATTGTTTTAAATTCTATTTATATTGTAGATAACACATTTACAAAGAAAGCCATATATAATTGATTTATCTCTTAGAAAAAGACATTATGTAGACGCTTTGAAAGCTGGTTAACATCCGGAATTTGTTTACATTTCCTTTAATTATTACGAAATTTCGAAAATAAAAGCGCATATTCTCATTCGCCAATCAGATTTTGTTCGGAAAAATTCAATAAAAGATTGTTGAAATATTTTTTGGTAAAATAATCACTGGCAACAGTGTTTGAGAGTATGAATTACGGCGAGTATACGTCTAAATGATTACACAAAAAATAAGAAGATAATTTAAATTTGATCTTAAATTCAAATTACAATATTTAGTCTGATTATTATTTTTTCCTGCAGAATCCCTGCTAAGAAATTTCCTAATTCCATCACTGAAAATGCACTTTTGGATGCCGAAGCATCAGTTCTAGCAACATTTGATTTCTTAGCTTCTGAAAATGCAGATATGGATGATGATGAAGATGGTTTCAGGTATTAATAATATATAAACATTTTTTTAAAATATAAAGTGTGTTCATAAAGTTATATGTTTGGTCTTGGATGTAACGTATCATTTAGACAACTGGATAGCTGAGGCAGTTGTCATCAGATTACTGCTCTCCTGGGAATGAATCAGAGCAATTTATTCCACAGAATCTTTCATGGGTGGCCTGTCCAAGATATGTTATGCTAAGTCCCTCACCCCCTGGTCACCCCAGTTGTGGCCTGACTGAACCCATAATGGGTATACATACATAAAAGGCCTTAGTGCTCACAAGTTAGAAAGTTAATAATGAAAATTATTAATTATTTAAAAAATAGAGAAAATAAGAGTTACACAATTTTTACACACACAAAATATAGATGAAATTGTAAACTTTCATATATATATTTTTTACAGTGGCATAGCATGGGTGTCAGCCACCTGGGGCAAAGAAAAATTTTGCCGTCCCCTTATTTAGGTATCTCAATTTAAAAGACTAAAATTCAGTTTCGTCACAGAATAAGTAATGAAAAATTCCGTGCTAGTGTTGCCACCTTTGTAAAATCGCTGACCCGGACAGTAGGTGAGGTTTGTTTGAACAGAAGTTCCTGACACATGTGTATGTCATTTTGCAATTCCAAGAATAATGTGCAGTGCATGCCGGTTCTAAATCAGTTACAGTTAGCGACTAGGGAGACTTGAGTAGGAGTAACGTAAGTAACCTAGATGCTAGATGACCTATCTGTATTGGATATTGGAGGTGTATATGGATACGAATGAATCGTACAAGCAAAAAAAAAAGGAAAGAAGGTCGACAGGTTGCACACGGTATACCCGGGTAAAATTAATAGTTTACCCTGTGCGACGAAAATATGAAATGAATAAAATGGTTCAAATTTTTACAAGATATTATTATTATTTATTGTGAAATTTTGCCGCCCCCACTATGCTATGCCACTGATTTTTTAAACTCAGAGTTAAAATACAGCAAATGTCACTTCTAGTACTTTTTACACAAGCGTTGTTATGTAGAAAGTAGTGATGCGACGATACCATAATTTTTTCCTGATTTCGATTCCAATTCTGCAAAAACTCCAGACTCCAATATCATTTTGATTCTTTTGAATAGTTTGTAAAGTTTATTTTCTTTAGAATAATTAACAATTTACATTATGAGCACAGTATATTCATTAATTAATAAACATCAAGCTTAAGAGTGGAAAATGATTGGGAAATCCAGAATCAATCTTTTAAAAGAAATCCAAAATATTTTCATTTATAGGTAGCTATGCATGCTCTTATTATGTTCTACAAAACAAATTTGTAATCTTATTTTAGGTAAAGTTAATATTGTAGCATTACCCTCAAAGAAATTACAGCTAATTAATTCCCTTTTACTCAAAGAACTATCTCATCATGTCACTTAGGGTCACCATCTTTGGAAGCTGCTTCGTTGGTCAACACAACGACTAGGGAGGGAAAGGTAAATGAGAAGATGTACTTCTATTTTCATGTTTCCCACAATCTGCATACCTCGTAAATGTTTTAATTCCATCGTATTTAACACTAAATGAGGTTCAGCAAATGATGCAATGAGCCAAACAAATATCATCATCATTATGAATTAACCAAGTTTTGAATACATCCATTCAAACCAGGTTTTCTGAAATACACAATTGTATAATATTTTTTGCGGAAAGAAGAATCAAACAAATGACTAGACTGATTCATCTTAAAAAGTCAATGTTTAAAACTCAAAACAGCAGTAGATTTAGCGCACATAATTATTTTTATTTAGAATCACGTGAATCGCATTTGTTATGATTCGTGTAAATATCACAAAACCTGATAAATCTGTAAAACCAAACAACCAGTGGTTGTTTGGCTTTACAGATTTATCATATATATACCATTCGTGAGATTTAGCCTAAATTAATGATTTACACGATACACTTTTTGTCTAGTCTTGTGTTGAATTATACGAGCACTAAGGTGGCTTTTCTTATTTGCTGATATTGATGGTATAATAAATCTAGCAAAAAAGAAAAGTCATCTTAGTGCTCATATAATTCAACCTAAATTAATGGTTATGCTTATTTTTTGGACATGGATGTATATGTACAGTACATATATGTAAATATACAAAATAAATTATCAATATATTTAAGCAAAGAGCAAAAATATTATATACTGAGAGATAATTTTAAAGTGTCAGCATGTGTCCTAGCTGTTAAAGTAACAGAAGGAAAGTATTGTAATCAGTCACATTTTGACTCTAGATTTTTTTGTATTTCTCAATATTTTAAGGACCCCTGATTCCAAAAATACCAAAAAGGAACAAAATTCTATATGTATGTTGGTGTCTATTTTACATTATTTCTCAGGGCCCATGGATCAAAAATTTTGAAATTTGACTGGGAATACTTCTATATATATACAGTAGAGCATCGTTTATCCGAAAGAATTCCAGTTGGCAAATTTACATTTTTGCTAGTGCTATGGCACTGCAATCTTTGGCTATGTCTTGGGCTGCTCCAATATTTTTTATGTTTGTATATGTGTTTTAGCTGGCAGCACTGGCACTTTTGTGTGGTGTTTTTCTGAGAACTGTGTGTCGTGCTGAAATGAACATTTTTGATACTAGATTAACTTCTAAAGTATAAATTTTTTTTTGTTTTTATATTTTTCAATATATTTATTTTGTTTGTAAAAAATAAAGAAATAATTTTTAATGATACAATAGCCATGATTATTATTTTAAAAAGTTTACGTTAGGATTAACATAGACGAAAATTCAACACAAAGCGACATGCAACGGAGAAAAATTTCAACATGGGATAGGTTAATATATTTTTTCGTACATAATTGGTTATCCGAAAAATAAGTTATCCAAACAATCCCAGTCCCCAATTGATTCGGATAAACAATGCTCTACTGTATACTGAGCATTGATGCTATTATATTTTGGAGATTTTAAGTATAAGTAGAGTCAGTAGGGGTAGAGGTTATATCTCAAATGGGACCAGACATAATAAAAATTTTACTTAACAGTTTTTTAAACACTCACCCATACTTCCAAAAATAAGACTTTTGCCTTTTACAATAATTAATAATATAAAAAAGTTGTTTTTAATAAAATCTCACAACAGATATCACACACAATTTTAATTTTGAGCCGTACTCTTAATGTTTCTTCCTATGATAATCCATTTTTAAACTTAAATATTCATTTTGAATAGAGAAATATTTTCATAATTCAACAAAATTACTCCTTTTAAGCTTTTATTATTTAAATTTTATATTAATATATAATTGAAAATGATCAGACTTCCGGTCCCGTAACCTCCTGTTCGAGCACCAGGAAATTCATGCAAGAGCCTTTGCCAGCTTTTTACTTCAATTATATTAAGCCATTAAGTTTTATACTTTAATTGAAAATGTCACATTCCATCACTGTTAATAATAATTACGTTTGATAAAATATTTTGATATTTTAATAATGATTTCTTTGTAGTGATGAAATTGACGAATGTAATATGGCAGATGAAGACGAACATTTAGAAAAAAGAATGAAATCAAAATCTCAGGTATTATATATCGATTGTATTTCTATTTGTTGTGTTAATTTCTATTAGATCAATAAATAAATGAATAATATAGGGTATTGGCAATGATACTGTCGCAACTAGAGTTGATGAAGTGATGAGGGATGCCGAAACAGAAGAGGTACTTTCGGAATTTGATTTTTTGGGACCTGATGCTGCTGAAGGTGCCGGAGAAGCCAGAAGTCAAGGGGACGGATCGGATTGGGGTAAGTGGATATAACACAAATCGATTTTAATGTATCTCGAAAATGTGTATTTGGATAGAAAATAAAACAACATATTTATTTACGCTGTTAAAGTTAGCTCAAATTAAATATTCTACATTCAAATGGATCATAAGAGTTTTATTAATTAAAATTAATAAAATCTTAACAATTAGTAATACTACAGTTTAGGAATCCAGATTAGGATTAAATGAAATTAAATTTTTTTTCCCCTGTATAATTTTTAAACTTAAATATTCATTTTGAATAGTGAAATGTTTTCATAATTCAACAAAATTACTCCTTTTAAGAATTTTGGATATTTTTAAAGCCATCCTCAGATTCGTGTACTATTTAGAATTATAAATATGGTGCAAAGATATTAGAACTAGAATAAATTAAAACAGATCAGTGTATAAAACAGCATTTATAAAAATCAAGCTTAACAGTTCCGATAAATATGATGTTTTTCTATACCAGAATTTAAGAACCAAAAAATTTATATAATTCGCTAATTAAAAATGAACAATTTGTAAATATTAAATAGTTAAACAATCACTTAAATTTACTATGTAAGAAGAATCAGAAATATTCTGAAATATGCCGTCTGTGAACAGAGAAATCAGACGGTTGTTCTGAAGAGGAATGGGGCAGTAATCCTCAGATCATTAACAAGCTGGTGGAAGAATACAGGAAAGAAAAGAAAAATAGAAAGGGCGCATCTCAGAGTAAGTTAGTCGCCTGCAATGACCTCTAAACTTAGGTCATTTTAGTGTGTTTCCATCAATATAACTGGGTGAAAGGCTGTTATTTTTATCTTTTTTTCCTTGATTCTATTCAAAGTTTTAAAATGTAGCAATATCTTTCCTTTTCAATATCAAGAAAGTGATATATACTTATGTAATGTAAGTATTTGAGGATGAAATATGGAAAGACATAACTCAGGTTGTTGATAATTTGCCACCAAGAATTGATATATTTTTGAATAGTACAAATATTTCATGTATTATCTCACATTGCAGTAAAATGATTGTTAATTATTTATTTAGAAACATCATTTAATTTATTATTAAACATTACTTTTTAATTGTAAAACTTAAGTACAAATACAAATCATGTATTTTTAAATATGGCACAAAAACTAGAACTGTGATGTTCATTTAGCTATAGGTAATACAGTCCAATCTTTTTAATTTGAAGTATAAAGTTTTAAATATAAAAAATTATCGAACTAGTTTTTAGCAGTACTCGGCATTTTTTAGTCAACATGATATTTTTCACTTCTTTAATCACTACAACTTTTAAAGCTAAACTTGTGTATGTTCCACATTTAGATATTGCAAAAGCACAGATAAATAACTTTGTTATCTAGATCCAAATATCATTAAAACTGTGAAACTTGACAATTTCACCCATGCTTTGAGGATTTAGAGCATGTACACTTTGATGAATTGCCGAAATGCACACATTCTCTAAATTAGTAGGCCACATTCTACTTTTTCTTCTCATAACATTCTAGCTTTTTCATACTCAGTAAGGCAGAAGGAAGAAAAAGAGAAAGACAATAAATGAGATATATAATTTGGAATAAAGGGAAGTACAGGGCTCTCCAGGAAGGAGCTTTGAGATTCCGACTGCTAACAAGATGGGATGGAGCAGGGTTGTACTGGATAGCAGTTAAACAACAAGCTTTGAATTATCTAAACTTCTACTTAAAAATGTGAATTAAATGTATTCTTTAAATTCTAATTTAAATACAAATTTCAAGGGGAATATACTGGGTTTGGCTTATCCAATAATTCAAATTATTGGAGTTTGAATTAATTAGATTCGACTGTAGTACTATGTTTTGAAATTTATTTTAAAATATTGACTATCTTGTTTTGTTTGGTTATTGTCATCGCATTCAAAAATAAGAAAGTATTCTTTTTATGATAAAATTATAAGATTTATATTAGATAAACGAGAACAAATATTTTGTAACTAATTTTTAAAAATTTTATTATTTATATAATAATAATAATTCCGTTCGTGAAACTCGTAAGACATATTTATTATAATTGAAAACTCATATACGTGAGAATAGAGTATTAAAGTATAGTTTTAAAGGATCGATCCTAAAGTACAAATATTTATTTGAAAGTCTCTCGCGATCTTCAGTTTGTTAATAGAATATTCAAAATGTAACATTAGTTACCTTTTACCAAATTTACATTGATGTTTACAATTCTGATTGTTATTCTTTGTGACGAAAATATAAAACTGTTATTCAATTATATGAAAAATATCATTTTCTTAGTAGTTTGTATNAATGTATTATTGGAATGAAAAAAATAGCAGAATTGGTGAAAAATAAAAGAAATTTACATTTAAAATGGCTAAATAAAAAAATATAGAAGATAAAATAGAGTATAAGAAACTTTAACACTAAGCGGTTATTGGGAGAAAAGTATCACAAGAAAAGAATAACAATTGGGAGAAAGTTTGTAATACCATAGGTGGAAGACAAAATACTGAAGCATGGAGAATTTTGAAAAATTTAAGAAATGATAATAAAAGAACCAATACTATTCAGTACATATCACTAAATAAATGGGAAGACTATTTAATAACCTTTTAACAGAAAACAGAAATGAATATATGATTTATAATACAGAGAATGAGGACATATAAGATAATATGAAAGATGACTATATTCAAATGGATATGAAACTTTTTGAAAGTATAATTAAATCTTTAAAAAATAATAAAGCTAGTGGCATTGGTGAAATACCAGCAGAGCTAATTAAGTATGGATCTGATAGATTACTTAGAATTTGCAAAAAGTTAATGGAACGATTCATAAATGAAGAAGATATCCCACAAGACTGGAAAGTTGGATATCTGTCACCAATATACTAAAAAAGAAAAAAAGATGAGTGTAAAAATTACAGAGGTATTACTGTCACATGTACATTCAGCAGAATACATTGAAAATTATTAAAATATTACCTAGAAGAGGAATACAAAGATATGGAAAATGAGGAACAAGCGGGTTTTAGGAGTGGAAGATCCACATTTGATCATATTTTCTGTGTTAGGCAAATAATCGAGAAAAAAGTTGCTAGAACTCAAACTCCACATTTATTATTTATTGACTTAGAAAAGGCATACGACAGTATACCAATTAAAAAATTATGGCAAGTATTGGATAACACAACAATAAATAGGAAAATAATAAATAATATTAAAAAATTATATCATGACTCTATTATTAAAATAGCAACAAGATTATATGAAGGATTTCTGGTTACTATAGGTTTACGCCAAAGTTGTTGTATTTCCCCAACATTATTTAAAATTTACATTCAAAAGGCTATGGAAATATAGAAGAGAAAATGTAGTAGTATGGGTCTAATGGTTGAAGACAATACTGTATATACATTATTATTTGCAGATGACCAATTAGTTATAGCTAATGATTATGATGATTTAACATATATGACAAGAAGCTGAAAGAAGAATACAATAATTGGGGACTAAATATAAATATGAAAAAACTAATTATATGGTAATTGGAACTAAAGACATACATGATTTAGTTTTGGAGGAAAATGGAAAAATTGAACTGATTAAAGGATGTAATGAATTTAAATATTTAGGAACAAAAATTACTAATGATGGTGGGATGGAAATTGAAATTAGGGACAGAATTATGAAAGGAAGATCTATGATAAGAATGTTAAATGGAATCTTATGGGATAAACAATTCTTTAAAACAACAAAAATAAACATATATAAATCATCAGTTCTAAGTGTGATAACATATGGAGCAGAAGTGTGGATATTAAATTCAAAATTTAAATCTAAATTAGAATCCACAGAAATGGACTTCTTGAGAAGATCTGCTCGATGTTCAAAACTAGATAAAGTAAGAAATGAGGAAATTAGGAAAAAAATTGATTATCAAAACTCTATAGTCAATTATAGCCATAACGAATAATTAACCTGGTATGGTCATGTGGAGGATGGAAGAAGGTAGACAACCACAACAGATACTGAAATGGATTCCGGCAGGCAGAAAAAGGAGAGGAAGGCTGTGGACTATATGGATAGAGGAAGTAACAAAAGCTATGGAGCACAAAGGACTGACAGAGGAGGATTGTTGAGACAGAACAGAATGGAGAAGAAAAGTTTGGGCACAGGAAGATGCTTAAGCATTATTAACCTGTAAAATAATAATAATAATAAAGTATATTTATGGGACGAATATTAAAAATGTTAAATTTTTATATTGTTTACTTTATGATACTTTGCATTATAAGTATATTATCATTATCTTTCCACTATTATAATATTAAAACATAGACAGTAAAGGGTGGCTTTATACTTATGGGACATACTTTGTGTAGTGAAATGTATATATCTTCTATTACACTTATGCACTGAAGAGGGGCAAGGATAAACAGGCTTTTGTGTGGTTGATTTCATAAGAATAGTGTTTCTTATTGTGGAAATAAATAAAAAGTATTCTAAAACGTGACTTGAACATGTGATTTAAGAGATCTCATAAAAGTTAATTAGTTAAGTTCTCTTTGAATTTAAGTAATTTTATAGTAAGTTATAAATTAATTCTGACTTTAAGGAGTCATAAATGTGACCAAATATTAAAAGATTTTGCTGTAGTAGATGAAATTTTCAAGTCATATAAACAAGAAGAATTTGAATGGATTTACTTTGTTTAATTAATAACTTGTGGAATATCTTGAAATAATTAATAATGATAAAATTATTTGTTAAAGTAAATATAATAATTATTTCTTTAGGCTTTGTTAATGTATTTAAATTAACAATGCCATTTGTTCTCAAAATTTAAGGTAAAACTAGTTTAAATTTTGGTAATGTAAGTCTGAACTGTAAAATTTATAATAATATATCAAAAAGAGAGAAATAATCTCATGAAACATGGAGAATAATAATACTTTAATTCAAGTTTTGGTAGCTTTAATTATCTAAATGTCATTATTATTATTATCTTGGTGTATTGTGATAATGATGGACGAATATGTTACATTAAAATAATTCTTATGTTCATATTTTTATTATAGAATATATAAGAAGATAATTTAAATTTGATCTTAAATTCAAATTACAATATTTAGTCTGATTATTATTTTTTCCTGCAGAATCCCTGCTAAGAAATTTCCTAATTCCATCACTGAAAATGCACTTTTGGATGCCGAAGCATCAGTTCTAGCAACATTTGATTTCTTAGCTTCTGAAAATGCAGATATGGATGATGATGAAGATGGTTTCAGGTATTAATAATATATAAACATTTTTTTAAAATATAAAGTGTTTTCATAAAGTTATATGTTTGGTCTTGGATGTAACGTATCATTTAGACAACTGGATAGCTGAGGCAGTTGTCATCAGATTACTGCTCTCCTGGGAATGAATCAGAGCAATTTATTCCACAGAATCTTTCATGGGTGGCCTGTCCAAGATATGTTATGCTAAGTCCCTCACCCCCTGGTCACCCCAGTTGTGGCCTGACTGAACCCATAATGGGTATACATACATAAAAGGCCTTAGTGCTCACAAGTTAGAAAGTTAATAATGAAAATTATTAATTATTTAAAAAATAGAGAAAATAAGAGTTACACAATTTTTACACACACAAAATATAGATGAAATTGCAAACTTTCATATATATATTTTTTACAGTGGCATAGCATGGGTGTCAGCCACCTGGGGCAAAGAAAAATTTTGCCGTCCCCTTATTTAGGTATCTCAATTTAAAAGACTAAAATTCAGTTTCGTCACAGAATAAGTAATGAAAAATTCCATGCTAGTGTTGCCACCTTTGTAAAATCGCTGACCCGGACAGTAGGTGAGGTTTGTTTGAACAGAAGTTCCTGACACATGTGTATGTCATTTTGCAATTCCAAGAATAATGTGCAGTGCATGCCGGTTCTAAATCAGTTACAGTTAGCGACTAGGGAGACTTGGGTAGGAGTAACGTAAGTAACCTAGATGACTTAGCTCTATTGGATATTGGAGGTGTATATGAATACGAATGAATCGTACAAGCAAAAAAAAAAAAAAAGAAGGTCGACAGGTTGCACACGGTATACCCGGGTAAAATTAATAGTTTACCCTGTGCGACGAAAATATGAAATGAATAAAATGGTTCAAATTTTTACAAGATATTATTATTATTTATTGTGAAATTTTGCCGCCCCCACTATGCTATGCCACTGATTTTTTAAACTCAGAGTTAAAATACGGCAAATGTCACTTCTAGTACTTTTTACACAAGCGTTGTTATGTAGAAAGTAGTGATGCGACGATACCATAATTTTTTCCTGATTTCGATTCCAATTCTGCAAAAACTCCAGACTCCAATATCATTTTGATTCTTTTGAATAGTTTGTAAAGTTTATTTTCTTTAGAATAATTAACAATTTACATTATGAGCACAGTATATTCATTAATTAATAAACATCAAGCTTAAGAGTGGAAAATGATTGGGAAATCCAGAATCAATCTTTTAAAAGAAATCCAAAATATTTTCATTTATAGGTAGCTATGCATGCTCTTATTATGTTCTACAAAACAAATTTGTAATCTTATTTTAGGTAAAGTTAATATTGTAGCATTACCCTCAAAGAAATTACAGCTAATTAATTCCCTTTTACTCAAAGAACTATCTCATCATGTCACTTAGGGTCACCATCTTTGGAAGCTGCTTCGTTGGTCAACACAACGACTAGGGAGGGAAAGGTAAATGAGAAGATGTACTTCTATTTTCATGTTTCCCACAATCTGCATACCTCGTAAATGTTTTAATTCCATCGTATTTAACACTAAATGAGGTTCAGCAAATGATGCAATGAGCCAAACAAATATCATCATCATTATGAATTAACCAAGTTTTGAATACATCCATTCAAACCAGGTTTTCTGAAATACACAATTGTATAATATTTTTTGCGGAAAGAAGAATCAAACAAATGACTAGACTGATTCATCTTAAAAAGTCAATGTTTAAAACTCAAAACAGCAGTAGATTTAGCGCACATAATTATTTTTATTTAGAATCACGTGAATCGCATTTGTTATGATTCGTGTAAATATCACAAAACCTGATAAATCTGTAAAACCAAACAACCAGTGGTTGTTTGGCTTTACAGATTTATCATATATATACCATTCGTGAGATTTAGCCTAAATTAATGATTTACACGATACACTTTTTGTCTAGTCTTGTGTTGAATTATACGAGCACTAAGGTGGCTTTTCTTATTTGCTGATATTGATGGTATAATAAATCTAGCAAAAAAGAAAAGTCATCTTAGTGCTCATATAATTCAACCTAAATTAATGGTTATGCTTATTTTTTGGACATGGATGTATATGTACAGTACATATATGTAAATATACAAAATAAATTATCAATATATTTAAGCAAAGAGCAAAAATATTATATACTGAGAGATAATTTTAAAGTGTCAGCATGTGTCCTAGCTGTTAAAGTAACAGAAGGAAAGTATTGTAATCAGTCACATTTTGACTCTAGATTTTTTTGTATTTCTCAATATTTTAAGGACCCCTGATTCCAAAAATACCAAAAAGGAACAAAATTCTATATGTATGTTGGTGTCTATTTTACATTATTTCTCAGGGCCCATGGATCAAAAATTTTGAAATTTGACTGGGAATACTTCTATATATATACAGTAGAGCATCGTTTATCCGAAAGAATTCCAGTTGGCAAATTTACATTTTTGCTAGTGCTATGGCACTGCAATCTTTGGCTATGTCTTGGGCTGCTCCAATATTTTTTATGTTTGTATATGTGTTTTAGCTGGCAGCACTGGCACTTTTGTGTGGTGTTTTTCTGAGAACTGTGTGTCGTGCTGAAATGAACATTTTTGATACTAGATTAACTTCTAAAGTATAAATTTTTTTTTGTTTTTATATTTTTCAATATATTTATTTTGTTTGTAAAAAATAAAGAAATAATTTTTAATGATACAATAGCCATGATTATTATTTTAAAAAGTTTACGTTAGGATTAACATAGACGAAAATTCAACACAAAGCGACATGCAACGGAGAAAAATTTCAACATGGGATAGGTTAATATATTTTTTCGTACATAATTGGTTATCCGAAAAATAAGTTATCCAAACAATCCCAGTCCCCAATTGATTCGGATAAACAATGCTCTACTGTATACTGAGCATTGATGCTATTATATTTTGGAGATTTTAAGTATAAGTAGAGTCAGTAGGGGTAGAGGTTATATCTCAAATGGGACCAGACATAATAAAAATTTTACTTAACAGTTTTTTAAACACTCACCCATACTTCCAAAAATAAGACTTTTGCCTTTTACAATAATTAATAATATAAAAAAGTTGTTTTTAATAAAATCTCACAACAGATATCACACACAATTTTAATTTTGAGCCGTACTCTTAATGTTTCTTCCTATGATAATCCATTTTTAAACTTAAATATTCATTTTGAATAGAGAAATATTTTCATAATTCAACAAAATTACTCCTTTTAAGCTTTTATTATTTAAATTTTATATTAATATATAATTGAAAATGATCAGACTTCCGGTCCCGTAACCTCCTGTTCGAGCACCAGGAAATTCATGCAAGAGCCTTTGCCAGCTTTTTACTTCAATTATATTAAGCCATTAAGTTTTATACTTTAATTGAAAATGTCACATTCCATCACTGTTAATAATAATTACGTTTGATAAAATATTTTGATATTTTAATAATGATTTCTTTGTAGTGATGAAATTGACGAATGTAATATGGCAGATGAAGACGAACATTTAGAAAAAAGAATGAAATCAAAATCTCAGGTATTATATATCGATTGTATTTCTATTTGTTGTGTTAATTTCTATTAGATCAATAAATAAATGAATAATATAGGGTATTGGCAATGATACTGTCGCAACTAGAGTTGATGAAGTGATGAGGGATGCCGAAACAGAAGAGGTACTTTCGGAATTTGATTTTTTGGGACCTGATGCTGCTGAAGGTGCCGGAGAAGCCAGAAGTCAAGGGGACGGATCGGATTGGGGTAAGTGGATATAACACAAATCGATTTTAATGTATCTCGAAAATGTGTATTTGGATAGAAAATAAAACAACATATTTATTTACGCTGTTAAAGTTAGCTCAAATTAAATATTCTACATTCAAATGGATCATAAGAGTTTTATTAATTAAAATTAATAAAATCTTAACAATTAGTAATACTACAGTTTAGGAATCCAGATTAGGATTAAATGAAATTAAATTTTTTTTCCCCTGTATAATTTTTAAACTTAAATATTCATTTTGAATAGTGAAATGTTTTCATAATTCAACAAAATTACTCCTTTTAAGAATTTTGGATATTTTTAAAGCCATCCTCAGATTCGTGTACTATTTAGAATTATAAATATGGTGCAAAGATATTAGAACTAGAATAAATTAAAACAGATCAGTGTATAAAACAGCATTTATAAAAATCAAGCTTAACAGTTCCGATAAATATGATGTTTTTCTATACCAGAATTTAAGAACCAAAAAATTTATATAATTCGCTAATTAAAAATGAACAATTTGTAAATATTAAATAGTTAAACAATCACTTAAATTTACTATGTAAGAAGAATCAGAAATATTCTGAAATATGCCGTCTGTGAACAGAGAAATCAGACGGTTGTTCTGAAGAGGAATGGGGCAGTAATCCTCAGATCATTAACAAGCTGGTGGAAGAATACAGGAAAGAAAAGAAAAATAGAAAGGGCGCATCTCAGAGTAAGTTAGTCGCCTGCAATGACCTCTAAACTTAGGTCATTTTAGTGTGTTTCCATCAATATAACTGGGTGAAAGGCTGTTATTTTTATCTTTTTTTCCTTGATTCTATTCAAAGTTTTAAAATGTAGCAATATCTTTCCTTTTCAATATCAAGAAAGTGATATATACTTATGTAATGTAAGTATTTGAGGATGAAATATGGAAAGACATAACTCAGGTTGTTGATAATTTGCCACCAAGAATTGATATATTTTTGAATAGTACAAATATTTCATGTATTATCTCACATTGCAGTAAAATGATTGTTAATTATTTATTTAGAAACATCATTTAATTTATTATTAAACATTACTTTTTAATTGTAAAACTTAAGTACAAATACAAATCATGTATTTTTAAATATGGCACAAAAACTAGAACTGTGATGTTCATTTAGCTATAGGTAATACAGTCCAATCTTTTTAATTTGAAGTATAAAGTTTTAAATATAAAAAATTATCGAACTAGTTTTTAGCAGTACTCGGCATTTTTTAGTCAACATGATATTTTTCACTTCTTTAATCACTACAACTTTTAAAGCTAAACTTGTGTATGTTCCACATTTAGATATTGCAAAAGCACAGATAAATAACTTTGTTATCTAGATCCAAATATCATTAAAACTGTGAAACTTGACAATTTCACCCATGCTTTGAGGATTTAGAGCATGTACACTTTGATGAATTGCCGAAATGCACACATTCTCTAAATTAGTAGGCCACATTCTACTTTTTCTTCTCATAACATTCTAGCTTTTTCATACTCAGTAAGGCAGAAGGAAGAAAAAGAGAAAGACAATAAATGAGATATATAATTTGGAATAAAGGGAAGTACAGGGCTCTCCAGGAAGGAGCTTTGAGATTCCGACTGCTAACAAGATGGGATGGAGCAGGGTTGTACTGGATAGCAGTTAAACAACAAGCTTTGAATTATCTAAACTTCTACTTAAAAATGTGAATTAAATGTATTCTTTAAATTCTAATTTAAATACAAATTTCAAGGGGAATATACTGGGTTTGGCTTATCCAATAATTCAAATTATTGGAGTTTGAATTAATTAGATTCGACTGTAGTACTATGTTTTGAAATTTATTTTAAAATATTGACTATCTTGTTTTGTTTGGTTATTGTCATCGCATTCAAAAATAAGAAAGTATTCTTTTTATGATAAAATTATAAGATTTATATTAGATAAACGAGAACAAATATTTTGTAACTAATTTTTAAAAATTTTATTATTTATATAATAATAATAATTCCGTTCGTGAAACTCGTAAGACATATTTATTATAATTGAAAACTCATATACGTGAGAATAGAGTATTAAAGTATAGTTTTAAAGGATCGATCCTAAAGTACAAATATTTATTTGAAAGTCTCTCGCGATCTTCAGTTTGTTAATAGAATATTCAAAATGTAACATTAGTTACCTTTTACCAAATTTACATTGATGTTTACAATTCTGATTGTTATTCTTTGTGACGAAAATATAAAACTGTTATTCAATTATATGAAAAATATCATTTTCTTAGAAGTTTGTATTAGATATTCTGCATGATTTGCAATTATTATATTTATTTTTATTTATTTACTTTTTTTTAGTTGTAAGTTTTATTCTGAAAGAAAAAAAAACAAATAAAAGAAATACTGAAGTTGTAATCAATACTTGTATTTATTTTGATCCAAACAAAATATGAAATTTCCATTCACATTTTTTTTTTTAATCAAACAAGAGTTAATTATTTTGCTAATTTAATTCTTTCCAGGCGGAACGGTTACTCTCTGATCTAGTCAGATGTGCTTCTGTAATAGTTTTCAACGGCCCGTTTATAATTAATATTTAGAACAGCGATGCTTCTTGAAAAAAGATACAGTGCTTTCTGTTTACAATATATTCGTGAAAATTAAAGATGCAGAAATTGCTACCATTTTGAAATTATGGAATCATATTTATGTTGTAAAGAACCGTGGACTCGTTTGCGCTCCACATTGTTTGATGGAGTAAATTGATTTGATTATAAAAAGCAAAATTTTATGCAATATCTTAAATTTTTAATAATAATTTTAGAAATATTCTGTTACAAGTAAAGCGTCGAGAAATTTCCGTCTAAGTAAATTTTAAAAACTCAGAATCTATCCTATTTTTTTGCAATTGATAATTGAAAAGTATAATTATTTCAATAAGAACGAAAACATTGTATTCTGATAATCCATATTCTGTGAAATATTCAAATAATAAAACAAATTTATTTATCATAATGCTGGAAGGCACTTTTAAGTAAATTTCATCTAACGTCTTAATTTTTGGAATTAATCTATTTTACTTATGCTCTTTTTATTTCTCATAAATTTAATATTTTTAGAAATCTTATTAAAGCTTTAATTACTTAATTTATGCATGAATTTAATAGGAAAAAACAACATACATGATGTTCTATGAAGGGTTCTTGGGGTCTGTCTCTCTTATATTTTAAATATTTTTGCTGTTTGTCAATTTATTTATGATTATGTTTCTCTTCCATAATTCAAATGAAACGTTCGTCTATTTAGTAACTAAATGGATAAAATTAATTATATATATAATATAGAAAATGTTGAGAGTCTTTGTTAGACCTAAGGAACTAAAAATTTATCGAAACCACGAAAGATAGTTCTATTTTATGTCAGTGTTTAGTTGCATCAGGCTTGTATGTATATGTTTGGAGCATAAACATGCAAACATGGCTTTATTGCTGTTTATAATTCATTATATCTCAGTGATTTTTGAATTCTTGATATATTGTTGCCATAGTTAAATACACAACAGTCAAGTAAAGCATGCGTGTTAGAGTATTTCAAATTTTTCTGTTTTCGAGTGCTCTTTCAAGCTTAATCTTCCTATTGTAGTAGTATTTGAATATACTCATTTGAAACGGAAACAAGCTGGGCCTCTAATACAAAAATAAGAAAATTACTGGAAGGATTAATAAGAAATTTACTCCCTAGAGATGGTAAGAGAAGTCGTGAAAGACAAAGGACAAGACAGAGTCAAGATAAACTTCTGCCTCGATAATACTCGGAGTCGGCAAATGACAAATCAAAAAGAAATATATATTGTTAACCTGGCTAAATAATAATAAATAATATATTAATGTTTTTTCATATGAGCATTAACATTTAAATAACATATTAATATCCTGGTGGGATTGATTATAAAGTTAAATTATGCTAGAAATTTTTTTTTTCACACTATTTTTTAAAATTAAATTATTTAACTAATTTGACTTAGGGATAGGCAGATCCCACCATTTTGTATAAATATTAATGATGGAAAATTAATTTTAAATTTAATTAATTAATTTAGAAACGTTCGGAAGAAAAAATTGACCCAAGGCAGAATTCAAACTCAGAAACTTCGTAAGCCAGGCAGGTACGTTAACAGTTATGCAGTCCGGACATCCGATCCAATCTTTGCTTCTAGACGTATATGTAATTTAGTATTTGCCAGATAATTGTGTTGAATAAACTCTTGAAATTTGGGCTTTGGTTTCTGTTATGTAACTTATATATGGATTTGATTATTTAAAAACAAAGTAATGATATACACACAAGTGTTAATGCAGCAGTGGGTACTTACACATTTGTCATGATATTAATGGATTCGGAAATGTTTGAAGAAGTAAATCAAATATTATAAAGATAATTTGGCCTCGCCGATTTACTCATTGATATAAATTGTTTACATAAAAGCAGACTTCTTATGAAAAACAAAAGAATACAATCAAAAGGAGACATCAAGCAGGTTACTAGAAAAATCCGAAATTTCAAAAACGCAAAATATTTTAGCGTCAAAAAGTCTTATCCTCGATGCTTTGCAGAATAGAGTACCATTTGCCTATTTTTTAAGATATTTATTATTATTTTGTTCTATATTAAGTAACAGAATTTTCTTACATCTTATCATTGATTATTCTTTAATAAGTTTGTTTTTATTATTTACAGTTATTTAAAATATATGAATTTTGTATATGAAACTGATGTTATTTATAAAAAGTTATTATAAATTGCAACACGAACATGAAATGCCAGGTTATACTGCTAATGATAGTTAATGGCACAGCTTCTAGCATCTATGTTAAATTTGGAGATGTTCCGAAATAAATTTTTTCGAATTTCATTCTTTGCCTCGTTGAAAGTAATTGCTATATGTATTCTTTTGATCATTGTATTTTTTTAGTGCAATTTTTATTTCTTTATGAATCTTATATTATCATTGACTTTGAAGAATGTACAGTACTATTTACAATAAATACAAACTCTTGCACTACTGTTGTTGTTTCTTGCATGTCTGTCTGGATTTTTTTGGATGAAAATTAATGAAAATGTGAATTTGATTTTATGAATTACTTACCTGGAGATGATTTTTTTCAAGAAGAAATTCTATCCATAAAATAAGAGAAACAAACATATACAACAAGGTCCTGATTACCTGGACTTCATTATCTTGCTACGAGTATCAAATGGCCACTACTGATTACCTATACTCGTGCTCATATTTAGCTAATTTGTAGCATTAGTAAGATGTATTCAGTGCAGTGTTTTCGTATGTATGTGTAAATGGATATATATTTACATATATATGTTATCAGCCAAACGGGTTTATCCTACACATGTCAGGATATACTAGTTTAGCCCAGGACAATCTAGTTTGGCCTAAATACTTTAGGCTTAACTAGTTTGACCTAGGCCGAACTGATTTAGAGTTATTATTCAAGTATATTAATGGTTAAAATAAAATTAAAAGGCAATCGATTAGACGAACAATATCTATTTAAACATAGTCTACTTAATTATAAAAAACGGTATTGATTAGAAGTGACACAACACTTGTACAGTACAAAACTATAAAATAAAAATAAGCTAATCAGTACTTATCAGTATGTATCTTTTTTATTAACCCATGCACTTTTAAAGGTAATTAA